AGCACCGTTTAAGCACCGGCACCGTTTCAAAAGTTCAGATTTGGTACTGGTATCGGATAAAACCTAAACGATACCCATCCCTAACTGGCAGTGTGTTTGACATTATTACCAAGACTAACAAGTTGAACCAAACTGTTCCACACCATGCTGAGATGTGCCAGGATTTTACTATTAGCTCTTTGGAAATCACATTGTTGATACAAAAATACTATTTTATTTCTGTCAAACTATGCTATCTTTGTCCATTTTCCTTTTCTTTGTAGAGTCAGCTAAAGAAACAAATGGTTCAAAAGATGAACATCATTTGTGTTAGGTGCCTTTTTACGATTGAATGATTCAGTGTTAAGTGCTTTACCAAAAAAACTGAAACAAACAAAAAAAACATTGCTCTGAAATTTTAAGGTATAAAGATCCACTGATAACAAATGGAAAAAATAGCTAATGTCCAAAAAAGACATTTGAAAACCCTCCAACAAGCCTGGAGAACTGTGGCTCCAGACCACTTTAAATAATTGCAAATACTAATAAAGAAATGAGGGGTGGCTCCTGATTTTTCCAGAATTTCATTCACAAAATTTGGACCATAGACTTTCTGGATAGACCATTAAGTAAATTATGGTATCTCTCATATAATTACAACATTCTCCAAAAGACAGCTCCTTGACACACAAGGATGGTTTCAGTTGTTCAGTCAGGCTTGCAATAGGTTGTGCTCGTTAACAATTGGAGACTGAGGCTGAGATTGTGTCAGTTACTTCGTTACAGGTCAACAGCAGAGAAGGTGAATGTTTAGTAGATGATGCTGTCCTTTAAAAATAGAAATGTGAGTTTTTTAAGCTTTTTCAGTCCAAAACCTGTGCTGATGTAAAAGCCTTCTGTAAGAAATAATTAAGTGCTGAAAAACGAATGTAACCAATGGCTGTAAACTCGGTTTTTGTCGAATTATTTTATCGTCCACGGTCTCAACCGTGTCCCATTCATTCCTGGAAAAACCAAACTGAACGTTTTTGCTTGTGTGTCATCAGAGTGTGTCCTCTCCAGTTACCATTGTGTTCATTTATATGTGAGAGATTCAGTTTTGCTCTAAGCTCCATCTGCTCCTCGCTGACCAAAATGTGCTCAGGACATCCTTTCCAAATATCTTTAGATGAGACGAAATATTTTCCTCACATCCAAGACACAAATAAAACTAATACAATTTTGGCCTCTTTTTTTTTTCTTAATATTCCAACTCAGTTCTGGCTGAGGCAACAGAGTAGGCTGCCAAGGGCGAATCCCTCAGTGGCACAAGTGAAAAAGCGTAGGAGGAAAAGACGAAAAGAAGGAGGAGACAGACAAGTGAGGAGGATCAAAGGTAGGAGGAAGGAAGGAAGAAGGTGAAAGGGGAATTCGAATGAGTGGGAGGGCTTTTGTTTTGGAAGCAGTTTGTGAATACTTCTACTGTTGCACCATCTAACCTCGGAGACCTTCACTTCACCTGAACTTCCTCTGATGAGTGCTCTCCTATCAATGCATGGTTTCATTGCCTCACAACACTGTTTTGTGTAAGAAGCCAATCTCATCTTCACTCCCTCAGTCTCTTTCTCTGTATTTCTTCCCTGCATTGCTCTTCTCATTTTTCTCAACTCTTTTGATATGTGACTCACTCATTTCATTATTATTCCAAAACACCGGAAGAATCCACACTGCTGGGTTCAGTTTCACGACGACAATCAGTCACTTTGAATGTAGCGTCTCTTTTACGCTCCCTGCTCAGGCGTGTTCGCTGATGTTTTTCACTCAGCTCAAGTTCCAAGGACAGTGCTCATTAAGAGTGCTTACTGGGAATTTCTGTTAAATTCAAAGCTGAAAATGACCTTCAGCTCTCCTCTGTTGCTGTGTTGTACTGAGAGATTTGTTACAGGCACTTGGAGCAGCGCTCCAAAAAAATCGCTTAAATTTCATCCAAAGCCCTCAAATGTTTGGCTCCGAGGACCAGTATGCACCTACACGCTCTGAGCCGAGTGTCCATATGGCTTATAAAAACATACAGAGGGTCCTACAAGAAGATTTTTCTCTGAAAAGACATTAAAATGCATTCTTTTTTAGGTCAGATTTGTGCTATTTTTTGCAATACAACTTGGCTTTGAGATGAACAGATAAATTAG